AAATCCTAAAAAGTTAAAGGACATCATCCAGTACAATTTAAAATCAAAACCAGAAGAAATTAATCAGCTTGGAGTCAACCCCAAAAGATGTCAGCCATAAAGAAGACACTTTACAAGCAGGGTTCTATAACTGAGAAGATCCCCTTTCTCTTGAGATCCAGCTCTAGACTAAGCTCCAGTCTTAGTCAAACACTTCACTCCAAGACCAAGTGATAAAGAAAAGATAGTGGCTAGGAAGGGGAGGACAGATCTGAATCCAAACTGACAAATCATATTTTGGTTCCACAAACACAATAAGGAAATTGGTGATATCTAGAGAAACATTTACCAAGCAAAACAGCACCATATAGCTAAACCAAAATAGAAATAAAGCTGATGAAACACACACCTTGAAAAAGTAAATAAACCAGCTACCATGCCTACTTCAACCCCTCCCCAAATAAAACATACATATACACAGAACACAAACTCCAAGTACAACCTCACCAGTTTATTATTTTCTTGTTTTCTAGACATCTGGGTGTATTTCAAAACAAATATCTGGGTTGCAACAACCACATCCCATTTTAATTTTCTTCAGAATGCCTGTGGAGCTCCTATTAAGACCAAAGGTATTTTTAGACCTGAGGAAATTAAAAATTAGGAGCCTTGGGAACAGTATGACTAGAACAGTAAGAGTTTAAAATCTGCACATATCAGATGCTCATCACTCTGCCAAATCCATCATATAATAAACTGGCATATAGAAGCATAAATTTATTTTCTTTTTTATCTATTTTGTAACTGCCTTTCAAGATAGTTGTTCCCAAGCTACTTATCAAGGAAAAAAAAAAGAATTTCAAAACACAAGGAAGTCATATTAATAATCAGCATTCTATCACGAATAATCAGTATGCTATCATTAAATATGAAATAAAAACTAGGTTCTATTCACAAAGTTGACTATCAGTTGGTTTTCTGCAGTTTCTCTCATTCAGCATACACTTATATATTTTTAGGGTCTAACAACTTTTTTTTTTCATATTTCCCTGTACAAATGTTTTATTAGGAAAGGTTTGTACCATAGTAAACCATAGTTTGTACCATACTAAACTATAGTATAGTTTCATAACTGCATTATAATCTATTTCCCCTTAATTATTAAGATAAAACATTTTTTCCAATGTAATATAAGTATCACCTTATTACTTACTAACATAGTATTTAAAGGTGTTACTCATATATTTTGCTTCTGGAAAACAGAAGAAGCTGAGGTGGGGTTTTTTTTTTCTGTAATTCTCCCACTTTATGCTTCTCTTAATACAAGCAAGGCGGCATTC